CTCTTTGTTGCTTCGGATCGGTCGCTGTGGCTTCGTAGTTTGCTGACCGGCAAAGTCTTACATCGATCTGCGCTGTGCTCTTCTTCTCTCGGGACTTCTAACATTGCCGGCACGTCGACATGCGTCGATGTCCGTTATTAACATGGTTCGGCCTTCCCTCTTGCCTTGGTAAGTGCGTAGAGCGAGGATCCGGCCAACGTCATTTCTCGGGCTTCGACATGCTCAACGGCAGGCATGGGCAGAACCCCGCACCTTCCCTCTATTGCACTCAGCAGGGTGCATTTTGCTACCTGGTGGATCCCTTGTTTGGATCTTGTTGCACTCGCCAAGCAGCCTGGGCCGCGTAGATGCTGGCTTCAGCACGGCCAGACTCTTACCATGACCTCGGCTGTCTGGGGCGACCCAATCGGCTTCCTCCATGCATTGCATCGGCGACACACACCCTGTGCGCTCAGTCTGCACACCTGCCGATTTTGACTTTGCGCATTGTAGAGGAAGGGGGAGGGAACCTTGACCGCCCTGTTCCGTGGTTGCGGCACACCGCAAGTTGTCCTTGAACACAGTTGGTGCAGCTGTCATCCAGCGGGTTCTCTCCTCACCCGCCTTCCGGTCGAAGCCGCTTCTCAACCGCGTCGTCATATCTAATTGCTGGACCTTGGCTGCAGTTGCTGCAGTGAACAAGCCCTCGTCCGAACCAGTTAGGATGCCCAAGGCCCTGAGGCAGGCCCTTTTTCGGATCAGGCCCAGAAAAGCCTCTGACAATGATCTCTGTGCCGTCATAGTCTTCGCTGTCGTTACGAATCCAAATATCTCCGAGACTAGGTGCAGCTTCCTTCATGGCATCGGCAACCTGCTTTGCAGCTGCGGACGCGTCGTCCATGTTGCCCAGCTTCCCTGCGCGCCTCGAGTCCAGCCGCTATGCCGAGCGGACACCTGGGCAAACGAGCAAGGCCAAAAATAACAAGGGTTGGAATGGAATGAGCCACTGCACGGAGGATTGCGCCGGGTGCAAGCTCGCAAGCCACCAGCATCAGGTCGCGGCAGGGGGGCCCGTCCCATCTGAGCAGCCGCACCGTCTTGCCTTGGCCCAAGCCTCGTCATGGGCGACCAGTTGCCGTTCTTGGAACTTTCCTGAGTTGCGCTGTGCTGGGTCTCGACGCACAACAAGTTTTTCCCTACGGTCCGCATCCTTGCCTGGCCACACGCATTGTGGGCGGCGATTGGCGGCGTTGGACGCCAGCATCCAATTCGCCACTGTTGCACACCGTGGATCGATTGTTTTCGTTCTTGGGGTGCGGTCGCATCTGGCCGGCTTTGAGTCGCAAAGACTCTGGCTCCGCATCATGTCTAGAAGCCGCTCGCCACGGTGGGCGTTGGACTTTTGGACTTTGGTGTGCTCGATCGTGATGAAACAAAGCACAGGGGCTGTCCGTTGTCTGTCGAGACTAGAACGGCTGCCGGAGCTTGGATTTGGCTCCACCTGCTGCTTTGGGCGGCTCAGAGCGACGGCTCTTTGTTGCTTCGGATCGGTCGCTGAGGCTTCGTAGTTGCTGAACGGCTTCCACCGGCAAAGCCTGTGCGCCGCAGCTTGCAGAGCTTCGCTTTTGTCTCACCATTTTGTAGTTCTGTGCTTAGTTGTTTGTTAGTTTGCTTGTAGGGACCGAGTGCTACAGCCGTAGTCGACGAGGCCCATTCACGCCAAAAAAGAACTCAGTCGCAGATTCGCAGTCTCCGACCGAGGAGAGCGCAGATGCAGCGCTCAGGTCTCGCTTGGACGAAGCCGACGGCCGAAATTTCTTCATTCTCGAGCCTACGTGGGCGGGCCTCGTCGACCACGGCTGTAGTAGTTGGTCCCTACAAACCTAACGAAACAGGGCTGCTCGACTAGAAACCCCTTCGTCTCCACTCTTTGAAGCCTTCGTCCACACTCTTCTTCGAAGCTTTCGTCCTTCCCTGCGAAGCCTTCAAAGCCTTCCTCTCCTCCGCTCCCTTCAACCCTTTGCCTTCGAAGATACCTTTCTGGAAATTCCGTCGCTCTTGCCCGTTCATGCACTCCGGACTGTGGACTGTCGGGCGACCTCCGTCGACACATTGATGAGTTGCTGAACAGTCCGGATGGGACTTCTGAGTGGACACATATCGGTCCTGGCTGCTCGAGCACAAAGATGCAGCTCGTATCTTGGAGTGGCTCTTCCAAAACCTTTTCTCTGTAGTGCGCTCTGGTCTGCATGGATGCTGTGTTGGGAACAAACGGTGTTTTGGACAGCTCAGCAGCATTGCATTCAACGCTCATCGCAGTGCGTATCACCTCCAACCTCTTGGCGATGCTGAAATGATTGACCCGTGCTTTGACCATGTGTCTTTCACCAAGCTGAGCACTAAGCAGCAGAGCTTCTGTTTTGTTCAATTGCGTTTGTGTGTCTAATTGTGTTGTGTTCTAAACTCTTCTTTTCTTTTGTTCTTTTCGGAAAACACCATAAAGTAATTTTGCGTGGCTTCTTCTGTTGTATTCATAATCTACACAGTTCCAAACAAGCTTCCAAAGACGAAAGAACTTAGAGGGAGTAGTATTTGTTCTGGCCTGTTTGCATGTTTTTTGGTGTGGTCTTTTCCACCAAGTGGACGCATGGCGATGAGACAGCTGACGGCGACGACAGAGCTACAAACAGGGCAGCGTGCACAAATTGTCGCTCAAGTTTGAATCGAACCAAAGATGGCTTCATTGGTTCACATTTTGGTTCGCTTTGTCTACTAGCTGTCAACAGTTTCCAATCGCTTCTACAGCTGAAACAACCAATGGACTGAAACCAAATCAGATATCCAACTTCTGGAAAGGTGCAATCCAGGTCACAGACTTCTTTTCAAGTTAACAAAAACTTATCCGTTTGTTTGTTCTAAAACTTCAAAAAGGTTACGAATGGCTGCACTCGCTGCGAATGTTGTGCCCCCAACAAAAGAGATGATGCGTTCTCTTGGCAGACAGCTTGTCTTTTGTTGTCTGGCCTCTGCACTGCATTGACAAACAGAAAATGTGATTTCTGGTTCTTGGCTGAATCCGAGTTCGGCTTGGTTGTGGATGTGGACATTGGATGGACGGAAAGATGCATGGATGAATAGGTGAGAACAGACACATGATGAATGGATGGATATGCGTGATGAGTGGAGACATTGATGTCTGGATGGTTGGATGAACTGGCTGACTGGGTCGTGGATGACTCGACGAAAAGATGAATGCGTGGAATGATATTCGGTGCCTTGTTCGAAATGTCTTCATGTCATGAGTCTTTTCGGTTTTTTCGATGTCGTCATAGTTTTTCATTTTAATGTATCCTAACGCTCCGTACTTGTCAATGGGCGAACATGGATGCATTTGCCGTGTCATGACCCGCAGTCCGATTTTTCAGTGTAATCACACATCCAACGAAACTGCATGTATACCTGAATATTTTGTGTTGCTTCTACACATGGTCAAGTTCGATTGAGAATCCCGGAAGGATGGCATGCAATTTACATGATCGGGTTTGGCTATGTTTGGTTTGCGGATTGATGACAGGTCGAAGAGTATCCATTTCGGGCTTACACGAAGTTTTTGGATTTTGGCTAGTTGTGAAACAGTGCAAGCCAGATGTTGTGGGCGTACTTAGCCTTCCGACCAAATATTTAGGCTCGAAGGTTTGAGTTGCGCAGTCAGCAGCGCCAGGGGTTCAAGACATGTTCTGAGTCTTCATTGTCACGTTGCGGGTACTACTGTCCAGGGTGAATACTGTCCAGGGTGCATCAGAAGCCAATCTTGGCAGCAGCGATGGTGCACAAGGTGGATGGTCGCTTAATGTTCGTCTGCACACTGTGAAGCATTCTGGCTTGGCGCTTTGTTGCATCAAGCGTGGCGAGAACCTACAGTTGCGTGGTGTTGCCCTTTTTCATTCTGCAAAGTGTGGCAGGTCATTTTGCTTCGCCATGGCGAAAGTGAGTGGAGTGTAGCTTGACTGCAAGAGCTCTTGGGTTTGTTGTGCCTTTGAGCGATGTGCCATACATGCAGCTGGTGTTTGTTCTTCACGACGGTTTGCCTTTCATTTTGCCTTGCAGCTTCTGATGAGTTGACAGAAGACAAACGCAGGACAAGTTAAACAGAATGCTACCGTAAGCTTGCTATCACGTCAGCGGGTCGCATTGCTTCGCTACGTCATCCAAACAGACTGGACGGCAAGTTCACTGTCCGGTCGTGTCCTCCGATGACGGGCCCTGTTGGAGTTCGGAACGGAAGCCCGGACCATGGAAATGTTGCCAGGACGGATTTCCTTTGCAGCAGTGTCATCCAGAATTGACGATCAGTTTTATCTTCTTGGTTGGCAGAGTTATGGTAGCGATCAATCCGGTGCTCCGTGCCGGTGGTCATTCAGCGTTCTGTGTCTTTGTGTGTGCGTGTGCGTGGGCAGGCAAGGAGCCATTCCAGCATTTTTGGAGCACATCGGTGGTTTGAATGTATCCATGTATCCCTGAAGGAAGTCAATCACACTGTCCGGCGGCCGACGCAACTCCTTGGCCGGAGATCGAGCAAGGACTTGATCTTGGCCCATTCCGGTTCTGCGATGTTGCAAGCTGCTTCCCGGGTCAACGTGAGCTCCAGCACAACTGCAGAGTTTATGAAAACTCATGTTGCATCGATACTTGCCACAGGACGTCGCCAATCTGCTCTCGTGCCCCTTCACCCAATCGTGCGTGGTCGCCACTGTGTAGAATTACTGGTCATTTGATGTTCGACTCTCACGCGCATGCATGAACAAGCCTGCCAAACAAACTGGCCTTGCTGTGTCCTGAGCCTGGTCGACTTGGTATGCCTGATCCCCAAATGCTTCCATGAAGCCGCACGCAAGTTCTGAATGAGGCCCTCGTCTCCGAAGATGGCAGTGGTGCCCGCAACGTCAGCCGCAGCCGCGTGGCTTCGTTTGCTAGTGAGCTGACCCATCTTTGCTGCTTTCTACTTTCACAGGCTGGAAGGCATGACTTTCAGCAGAGTTCGTGCTGACAAGGTGCTCGGCCCCGGGCCTTTGCCACAGTCGCCGGTGGCAACCAGCTGGGGCTGGAAGCCGGCGACACAAGTGGAGGACCGAGTGCTGGCAAGAGGCAGAGAGCTCAACCAGAGGGTTTTCCACGAAAGGATGCTTTCCTGCTCCCTGCAAGGACCGTCGATATGGCCCCGTGAAATCCGAGCCATTGGTGCGCAAGGCCAAAATACTTCTTCAGCTCAGCATAGAAGGATTCAGTCTGATGGTTACCGGCCTCGTGCAGGATAACATGGCCTTCGTGTGCCGTGAGGGCTTACCCCTTGACTACGGTGCAGTGGCAGAGGACCTTCGACATGGCATGAAACGTTCGGCGGGTTGACGTATTTCAAGTTTCGGACCAACAGCGAAAGGACGTGTGGAAGGACTTCGATGCATCCCTGAGCAAGCTGGCAAACGAGGCGGAGCTTTAAAGCGTCCAACCGCTCTCAATTTTGCACCGCTGGAGGCTGCCTTCCTCCGTGGGATGCTCAAGGCTTTGGGCCGCGAGGCCAAAGGCCGAGGCCGTGAAGGGTGAACGGTTGGAGGGATGTTTCGGGTCACCACTGTATAGCTTTCTTGTCTTGCCTTGTCTTCCTCAAGAGGACATGGGTTCGCCTGTTGTAGGGACTCTGGCAACGAGGCTCTCCGGGTTCAGGCCCAGCTCTGATGCATCTGATACCGTGGGATGTTCGGAAAGGTCACGTTCTTCCCATGCCCCTTAGAGAGGCTGTCACGCTGCAGGCGACGTTCCTCGCTTGCCGAGCTCGAAGCTGCTACCTATGCCTGTCTGTAAGGACACGGGGCAGCCGAAGCACCAGGATCACCCAGGTCAAACCTGCAGAAATGTGATGTAAAAGGGTGATCACGCAGGTGCAGGGTTGTCATTTGTTGTTTGGGACACGCGGAAGCGAGTCCTGCAGCTGGACGAAACTGACCTTTGCAGGATATGGTCGTCGAGGAGAGGTCCAAGCTGATCGAACCTAATGCAGGTGGGACTTTCCGGAAGCAGAGGTTGGGCTTGAAGGTCTGCGCAGGCATCATGGTCTGATTGATTGTTGAGAAGCCAAACAGATATAAAGAGATGCACAGGGACATAGAGAGCATGCCCTGTTGCTTGAAACCCCGAAGCAGGAGCTTGGCGATTTTTGGGGGATCACAAACCGCAACCGTCAAAAACACTGACCATCTTTTCAGATATTACTTGTACCAACTTGACATGGTGTCTGGCCTACATGACTGACGTCTTAAGGCAAGGCACAAGACTCAGAAAGGTTTTAAATTGACCTCTTACCAGGCACTCACTCCTGTCACTGCTGAGGAGGCTTGAAGGGTCGGCTCCGAGAAAATCGCAGCCCGCGCTCCGTTCGTCTGGGCAAAGCTTCTTGGCCGCAGGGCGCGCCTGGAACTTTCGCGGAATTGCCCGGCTCACCTGAGAGGTGGTGGTGCAAACATACCCTGCGAACAAGGCGGGCTTTCAAGGGCTTCGCTGGCTTGGGCTCCGCTGTACGGCTCTACTCCCAGGGATCTCAAAGAACTCCCCGATTTGTTGTTGGCGCCGTGTGGGATGTGAGGAGATCATCGAGGACAGCCACGGCCACGCTCCGCAGCCGCCGGAGAAGGAAGCGCCGACACGCGTGCGCAGACCTTTCGGCGATGCCGCTCAGCTGCTGTGGGCTGCCCTGCAGAGTGTAGATCCCATCCCAAGGTTCTGAATAGCCATACGTAGGGTGCAAGCCACTCAGGTGAACCTGAACATGAACTCGATGCCGTTCAGGGTGAGAGCTACTGTCGGTTAGACAGTCCGAGACTTGAAGTCCTCTGTATTTCGGTGTCTGCGGTTTGCCCTCCGGAGGGCCGAGTGTCATTGGTACCGGCCATGGCCGCCGCAGGAAAGTTTTTTGTGTGCTCGGACAAGAGCACTCGGAAAGATGCGCGCTTGTCTGCTAATTAGTCCGGGTGAACACTTCCCAGTTGTGAATCACAGCTTGGTCGTGTTTGTGTAGGTGGAGCTTGAAGCTTTGCTCCTTAATTCAGATGGGCGTTCTGCACTGCGTCAATCTGGCCTGAAGAAACCAGGAACTGTAGTTTGGTGTGCTGTTTTGAGGGACTACAGACATATCTTTGATGCCAGACTTGGAGCAGGATGTTAACAGGCAGCTTCCAACACTTGCTGGTCGAGCTCCAGGCATGAATGTTAGTATTGTAGTAGTTACTATCATTCTTATTGTGGTCATTTTTATTGTGAGTTTTACTCTTATTAGTATCATTATTGTTAGTATTGTTAGTATTATATTTGTTAGTCATGTTATTATTGTTACCGTCATTATTTTTCGTACTACTATTGTTATTATTGTTATTATCGTAGTAGTTATCGTAGCAGCAGCACCAGCAGCAGTGGCAGTGGCAGTGGCAGTGGCAGTGGCAGTGGTAGTGGTAGTGGTAGTATAAGTAGTAGTTGTTATAGTTGTACTTAGCAGTATGCTCCTGCTGCTGCTGCTGCTGCTACTACTGCTACCACTCTACTGCTGTACTATGACCGTCGGAGAGCTCCAGGGCTGTTTTGGGATGTCCCGCAGCTCAGGCAGAGAAGAATTTCGCAGGCAGGGACCTGCTATCTTGCTTCCAGCCGGACGTTCATCGGGTGATGGTGCGGGGAGGGGGGGGGCGTCTTGCATGGCTTCAATAGGGTTTAGGGTTCCCTAGACCCTAAACATCTTGGTGCCCATAGGCTTCAGCAACACAAATCCCTGGTGCAATCGGGGCTAAACTTTCTCTCTATATCCCTTCCCCTTGATGCCTTTAACCGTAAGCCCTATCCCCGAACCGCTAAGCCCCTTCTCGTTTTGCTCAAGGATGGATGGATGTTGACCTCACAGAGTCTGGCAAGAAAGCGGCAGCAGATGCTGGAAAATGCCTCAAGGACCATCGGGTTTACGGTTTCAGGTTTGGGGTGTATACAGGGGTTTTCGGTTGAGGGTTCAGCGGCATCGCTTATACGTTTCTCGAGATCCAGGCTTTCACCATGTTTTCAATCGCACGACTAGTTGCCGAATGCTGCCTGGAGAGTAAATGGATCTCTGGCATTGACGTTGTCGCTTGCCAGCTGGCACCAGTGTATCCCTGAGCACTGTAATCAGAAGAGCTTCCTGCCCATTTTTGGGGTCAGGAGAAGGGCCTGAAGCCTGGAGTGGTTTTCACCTCCAAGCTGCGCAGATCAGTCTGCACAGCGCGGCACGGCCTGCCTTTATGTGGCCTTCGGGGTTTCCTCTGTCTTCTCCATGCTCCATCTTTCAGGGGTGCTCCAGCCTCTGCGGTCTAAATGTCTTGCACCCCACAGGGCTCAGAGAATGTCAGGCAAACCGTGATAGCATAGCGCATTGTCACTTGTCTCGACACCCAAAATCTGGAGCTGGCACGGCTGCAAGATCCTCCATGCGCAATCGGTGTTCCCAGTGCACGTACTTCTCATGTCCGCTTCGCGAGGTGGCTGGCGCTGATGGAGTCGGACAACGTCACCCTGCGACTCAGCTTTGTATTCTTCGGTGGCACGTTTCTGACAGGTGCATGATCGGGAACTAGGCTGCTGAAACGACAGCGTCGAAGGTTCCCTTATGAACCATCGCTCATCAAATCTTTGCAACATGTTCATGAAGCACGAGCAAACGCCTCCTAGGCCCATTATCAACTCCTGGCGTCTCAATGAGCGGCACTACGGTGAGCTGGGCAGGGTTGTGTCTGAACATGCCAGGCCTTATCTTTCATAAGTGTAAGGAGACTTCTCCGAGCCGGTAATTCCACTCTGCCGCGAGATGTGAGTTGTGTTATGAGCTTGCAAGCTAGAGCGGACAGTTCGGCTTGCAGACCCCTTTGCGCACGCAACAGATCAAATGCCATGTAACTGTGGGTGCTCGGCTTTTCCGAGTTCGATGACTGGCCATGGACTTGTTCATCAGGTAGCGATTAGCTAGTGGGTTTCTAAGACAGTGGTGGGCATGGGGAGAGCCATGGATGTTCGAGCGGGGCAGCCCTTCCGTTGCGAGATGGCTCTACGTGCTGCTGGAAAGCACTCAGCTCAGTCAAAGCAGCACGACATCCGCGATTCAGGATTGCATTCCTTTGGTGTTGCGTTCTTTTGCTGACGGCAAGCAGCTGACTCCAATCGTTTCTTCGACAGTCCCCTCTCCACATCTTCACTCTGCTGTAGCTGAAGCTCTGCTGAAGCTGTGAGGTCTCGGCATGGCCGGTCAAGGCGACTTGTTCGCAGACCCATCCCTCTTGCATGCGATGGCTGCTAGGAGTGACATCGAGTGCAGAGTAGGAAGCGGGTGGAGGTCCCGAAGTCTCACCGCCGAGCCCCATTGCCGAATCCAAGGCCCAAAAGGCCCGAAGCCAAGGCCATCTTCAACATCAGCCCGCCCCCAGCGCAAGCTAAAGAATCCCGAGATGCTTACACAAGAAGAAGAAGGATCCTGAAATCATCTTGGCGAAGGGTCTTTCTTTATCCTTGTCTGCAGACGGTCCGAGGTGGAAGCCTCGCCGCCGCTCTCCAGGCAGTTTTCGGTTTCCTGGAAGTGTTGGGTTTCGAGGCTTTTGGGAGGTGGGAACTCTGGGAAAGTCAGACTTTTCGGCTTGAGGTGTTTCTCGTGGCCCTGGCGGTGACCGGCTTCAGGAGGCCAACCCAGCACGTACTCCTAGCCAGGAGCTGCAAGAAGCGCGGCAGCAGCTCCGCAACGTCCTCTCCAGGGCGACGGCGACCGAGGACTCGCGCCCGGCAGGCGGACCCGATTGCAGGAGGACTCTCAAAGGATGTTCCGCGGAGCACAGGATGGTGCTAGTTTCAGTTTGATTCCAGTCGTGTGCTGTTGCAGTGCTTCGACCCCCACCTCCAGAATCTTTCCACTTCTGCGTCGAGCTTCAGCTCCTTGCCCCTGAGAGTGGTGCATGCAGGCAGCGGAGGTGGCAAGAGTGGAAGCGGCGGCAAGACAAGACTGCGGCGCTAGCCTCGGATGTCCTGTTCCTGTGTTCTGTGAAGACCAGTTTGCCCAGGCTCAAGCTACAATTTCGAGATCTGCCCAAAAGCTGAGTAATTACGATGGAAGTCCAAAGCCACTCAAGCTGACGAAGCCGAGACCGATTCAAAGGTTCCTTGGTCATGCCTCACATCGCCGCTTCGGGCTCTTCCTGCTGCGTGCTGGGATCCCATGCATGGGTGCCGGTGGACGTGTCGTTGTTTGTCAGTCGGACTGTCCCGGGTCAGTTTTCAGATATCTGGAGTGGCGGAGCAACGCGCTTTGTTTCGTTGGGTTTTTACATCCAGTCATTGCTTGAGTTGGCTGACGTTCTTGCCGAACGGTTTGAGCATGGGTTTCACCAAGGTGTCGTTCCGAGCCTGGCGCTGAGCTGTCTGACCTTGAGACGCAGGTGCACGCTGATCTCAGATCGGTTTTTGCTTGCAGTGCTGAGTGCGCTGAGTCTTCCGTCTCCTCCCTGCTGAGCCGAACGTAACGCAGAGAGCTCTCTCCTCTGAAGGTTTGGTCTTCTCTGTCTGGTCTCGGGCCGGTTGCTCATGTGGTTGTGGCCGGCTGAGGCCTGGGCCGGCGCGCAGGCGAAGGCGAAGTCGGGACACGTCGGACACGGCCCAGCTCCTGCCCAGGCCTCTGTCTTTCGGATGCGAATCCTCAAAGTTTTTTTGCGTTTGCTTGGTTTTTCTGGGTGGGTTGTCGATCGAGTTCTGCAAGGTAGTACTGGCAGAGCTCTACTTTCGCAGCCGGAACAGGGCGGGGCCGGGACCTGAGCCTTTTCGACCGCTTGGGCCCTTGAGCCTTGGGCTTCGAATCCGAGATCCTGGCGCCGAGGCTTCTCCGAGCATTCTCCGCCTGGCGGCTTTCGTTGCATCGCGATGGCCGCCTGCGGAGGCAGGAGAGGCAGGGCGTGGCAGGGCGGTGTTTGAGGTTTTCTAGCACCTGCATAACCCCGCCGCTTAAAGTCTAGACAAGCCGCCAACAAGAACCTCAAGAGCTTTCAGGCAAAATGTGCAGCTCAGATTGCAGCCGCATACATTGCCATCGAAGGTTTCCCCCACCTGACAGGTTGGCACAAGACCGTGCTGCAGAAGTGGCAAGAGCTGAAGCAGCCCAGCATGACACCCACTCGCATAAAGATGAAGGGTTCTTCGCATACAGTGTTCTTCCTGTATCCCAACGAAGACCACAATAATATCGACATCTGGACATCCAAATACGGATTTCGCCGCGTTCGATTCACTCACGTGCATGCGTAGCTGCGTAGCATCTGGAAGGGCCCTATGTCTGGCTTGCGGCTTCAGTCTCTCGAGAAAATGCATGTCCGTGCAGCGCCCTCGTGGCTTTCAGGTGAGCGAGGGGCGCTTGGAGCTTCTCTGTTCCAGGCGCCATTGAAAAAGTGCTGCCGTCTGCCGTGGTGTCACCAGAGGTTGTCGGAGAGACTCGCCTTGGAAGGCTGGCCTCATCCACTGCAGCTGTCTGTCTCTTAAGGCTGGGGCCCGGGCCCGGGGCATACCAGACCTTCAGCTTGCGTTCTGGGTTTATGGACTTGCCTCCTTCTGGTTTGCTTTCGTAGCCCTCTTTTCAAGTCCCACCGCGTGCCTGCGTTGCAGGCGGTCGCTCCTGGTGTGGAGATATTGCTGCCACGAGGTCAGCCCCCTAAAGTCTGCCTGCAGCTGCACAAGCATGCATCTCATCATGGGTGCCTAAGTTCTCCAGGGTTGGGGGTTTGCATCTGCTCACTTTAAGTCAGGGGTTTGTTTCTTACTCTCGAGTCCGAGGCACCTTCTCTCACTGTAGACAAGACATCTCTCCTCCGTCAGGCGCAGCTGGAGGCAGTCGCCGAGAAGTCCCAGGCGATCCAGGTGGCCCCGAAATAACTTGCAGCCCAGAATGCTCGAAACCCTCGGAACTCTTCGGAGATGAGCAGTGGGGGTTGCAAGTACTGGGGCTTTCGGATGAAGGTTCAGGAGCTTTGCATAGCTTTGCAGGATCTTTGCGGTGCGCCTCTTTGAGCCCAGGACCTCGAGATCCGATCGTGCTCGAAATCTGTTTGTGGTCCTAGGGCAACACCTATCAAGCTTTCAATATCTGTCCATCTTTCCTACAGAAGGCAGAAACATGATGTAGTGATGCCGTCATCATCTCCAGTGTCGCTCTCATCACTCCCTCACTTCGTGTTGACAAGACCAGCTAAAAATTTCGGCAGCCGAGTGTTGCTTGGAGGACTTCGGCCTCGCACAAACGCCTTCGGTTCATGCCAGTGGGTTTTCGTGTCGAGACCCCTCAAGCTTTTCCCGCCTGCAGACCGAAACTTTGCGTCTGAGCATGAGCGGAGAGGCAGACAAGGCTCCGGGTTCTTGGTTTCGGGAATTCTCGGGGTGAAGAGATGTAGCTGCCACACAAGACATCAGACTGTCAAAGCATGTTTCCAGCAGCAGCCTCTGTTTAGCCTCTGTGTGTGGAAAGCCGCTGCACGGCTGGAAGGGCTGTGTCATATAGGCCCTAGACATGCGCATGAATGTGGTGACGATGTGCATGTCCGTTCGCATCTCCACAACCAAATGCCCAAACCACTTAAAATCGCTTGAAGGCTGGCTCCGCTCACTATCCCAACCAATACAATACATATAGCAAGCCGAGATCCCGATGCTTGTAAATCCAAAATTCCATGCCCATTGAAGCTCGGAAAAGTTCCAAACGAAGGCCGTGGCCCTGCTGTCTGCCCGCGAAGCGGCGCTAGACTGCGAGTTGGCGACGCCGTTGGGGCCCCGATGGCCTAGATGCTTTCTTGGATCTGATGGGCCTTGGAAGATGTCCTATCTGGGCTCATGTTTCTACTCTGGCTAAAGAGAGCAGATGTCAGATGCCCTGCATTTTCTCGGCATGTCCTCGTATGTGACCATGTTCCGGTTTACGTCCTCCAGAAGGGTAGCCGACAGTCGGTGAGGATACAATAAACGGCCTTCAGCCGTGTGTTTTGATAAGCAAAAAAATTCACACGCCCCGCGGCACTTCAAGGCTGCCTCGTTGTGACGAGCTCATCTTCCAGCTGAACTTCGGCTGGATATGCCCGGATTTCTGCAGGGTTTCCCTCAGGGTGTGTGGAATCGAAGAGCGGCCTCAGCACGGCATAGGACCGACTTGCTTTGGCTTTCGCAAGTAGCAAGGACTTGTTCGGGAATCTATCTCGGAGGTCTGAATCGTGAGGTCTTTCAGGGAGGTCCTCGTTTTGCATGTCGAGTTTGTAGATTGTGGATGTATGAGTCTCTACCCAAGCTTCAACATCGCGATGTTCGTATTAACGAAGTCGCTTGCAATAAGGTGGCAGTGTCTCTGGCCCGCTCGGTTGTTCTGGTTCGCACTTCAACTTACGACACCAAGAACTGTGACACCGAGGCTGTCTGCAAGAGGGTCCTCCCTTCGCTACGCCATCCTTCGTCCTTGCTGGTGCCGCGAGGGCTTGCGCAGACTCGCCATTGCCTTTGAGTTATATACAAAAGCACAGTTTAGCCAGTCGGCGGCACACAGTCAAACTCATACGTGGAGGCACATAATTAAGTATCTTGCCAACAAACCAAACGACTAACCAGCTGGCAAAATTCCTGGCTGACTCATTGACCAAGCGAGCAAGCAAGCGCGACAAATGCAAGCAGGCAGCAGGCACGCTATCAGACAAATACCTGAACAGGTAAAGAGTTGGCTAGGCAGCGAACTACCGAAGCGACCCAATGTCGAAGGCATCAGTTGACTAGCTTGCTGGTTAGCTAAAGACTTCAGCACATATAGATAGATTACACAGAACAGATACATGTACCAGGAAATGAACAGCACAAGCAGAGCACGTAAAGACAGGTATAGCACACAGAAGTGCAGAAAGATGCACATGCAGTGCACGTCTTCGTCTCTGAAGATTGGTTAGGTGATATCAATATAAATATACATACACATCCATATGTGCATATACATATATACGTATGTACGAAGGTATGTCTGCTTGTCTGTATGTCTGTATGTATGTAGGTATGTAAGTGTATGTATGTGATTATGTTCGTATGTATGTATGTCTGTATGTATGTATGTATGTATCTTAGACCGTCTGTAGCATGTAGATACAGATACGTAGGTAGGCTAAACAACATGGTTGCAGCTAGATGACTGAGCAGACAGTGATTGCATAAAGAACGAGCCGGAGAACAGCACATGACTATGTGCTCAAGCAGCTTAAACATGTGTACTAGGTTGTTTGTACATCTGCGCGTTTCTTGGCAACATTCGCATGTGAAAACGCATGCCGATTAAGCGAGTTATCTCTCTCTCTCTCTCTCTTGCTCTCGGCTTGTCTGTCACTTTTCCTGCAGCTACTGGCTGCCTGGAGTTAACGTGCCAGTCGATCATGTAGAAGAAACGCTTTCAGATCGCCAGGATAAGCTTCATTGGCGCAGGTCATCATCTCCGTTTCAGTTCACTTCAGAAGCCTCGCGCAGCCTGCGTTTCCAAACAGCTTGCAAAACAAGAGCATAAAGACGCGCTCGTACATGTGGAGTTGATTTGTCATGTTCCTTTCAGCTGCGGCCAGAGGCGGCGTTGGCGTCTCCGGGCTTCGTACGGGCTTTCCTGGATGCGCCAGAGGCCAGGAGAGGTGCTGTCCAAGCACAGTTTGAATCTCGAGCTGTCCTCTCAGGGGCGTGCACATTACTCTCGGCGGGGCACTTACTTTTGCAAACGGCTTGCTGCATGAGACTCGAGTCGATATACCAATGCGAAACTACAAGCTCGGATCACGACGTCCCTCAGCCAAAACTACATAGAAGTGAGTCGACTTAAGCAGCAGCAACTGTCGTAATTCTAAGCGTCTCCATTCAGCAAACTCATGTCCGACACATGTCGAGGCTGTCAGCATCTTCCTCTCTTCGAAGCCCGACAGCTCCTTGCGCGAGGTAGGTCTGTACACTTTAGGTTGAAGGACTTGATCTCGAGAGCTCGGAGAATGCTGTCAACAGCAATGGCGTAGATTGTTGATCGCGAAACCGCCCAACAAACTGAAGAGCAGTAGGATACAATCTGTCTCCAGTACTTGTAAAATGCGTATGCGCCCCTTGCAGGTGTGCCGACTAACTGTCCCACAAAATCTGAACCCTGCGTGCAAGTCATCCGGACCTGGCACTATGGCTGCGGTGGCATGCATCGGCGGCTGCCTCTATGGTGCCAGGAGCGAAGGGAGAGTTTGTATTCGAAGGCAGCCATTGACGACATCGATGCAGCAACTAGACCAGTACCACGACCAGCACCGCCACTACGACCACCACGCCCACCACTACTACCACATCACAACCACCACCACCACCATCACCACCACCATTACCACCCACCACTACCGCGACTGTCACCACTGCCGCTACTGCCGTTGCTGCCATTACTGCCACTACCAATCACTATTTCCGACACTGCTACAGCCGCCACTACGAGGACGACGACGACTACCACTACTCTTACTTTTACTACTATACCTTCTGTGACTACGATGACACGGTACAAGCACACCAGCAACAACAACGACAAGTGACAACTCCTGTTCTACTTTGCCTTCTACTTCTACTGCTACTGCTACTCCTACTTCCTATTTCCTACTCCCTACTCCCTACTCCTACTTCCACTTCCAATTTTAGTTTTGCTTCTGCTTCTGCATCTGCTTTTGCTTTTGCTTCGACTTCTCCTTCTACTTCTGCTGCTGTTGCCGTTGCCGCTACCACTGCTGCCGCAACTGTACTTCTGCGATCTTCCAAAGTCTGCAGCTGCTTCTGCTGCTGCCTTGGCGGCTTGTGGTGCTTTTTGTTGATCGCCATGGGTATCGCGAGAGTTGAGGCCAGAACGGCTGCGTATAATTAGTGGTTTTGTTCTGTGACTTCATCGTCACGGGGAGGATGCCTGCAGGAACGAATAAATCATGTGCGGTGGATTGGTTCTCCCATTTCCTTCCCAGGATCCACCGGTTCCTGAACAGTCTCCACAAAGATCACATGCCATGCTTGCCCGAAACAGTCCTGGACACCTCAGGCTGCAAAATCCCCAACGCCCAGCGAACATATTGGCCCAAGTCTCCCGAGGAGCGAGGCTCAGCAATGGCTCGCGGATTCCAGATGGTTGCAGACATGTCGCTCAAAAGGCCAGACGTGAGCGGTTGGGTGTGAGATGGTGCGCGACACGCTTCACTGTTGGCCTCACACTTCGTCCCGCGTGCAGGCAGCGCTTGTGGCTTCTACGGTGCTCTTTTGGTGCCTGGGTTTGCTGGGGAGCCTCTGCCCGCAACCAAGAGGGAGAACGTTATGTACGCATGAGTGAAAGCGCAAGACTGCACGAATATTAAGAGATGGGCCGTGAAGCTAAGCCGGGGGCACATGCCTAGGGGCCTAACACCTCGGGAGCGGCCTCAGGACATGCAGAGCAGCAGCAAGGATGCAGCCATTTCGGCCCCAGCACATTGGCAAGGAGCCCGAGTACCCTTGTACTCTCTGCTGCTAGCCTTGTTCACGTCAGAGATCGTAAGGGGTTGCCTGCCTCTTGAGCAGCATCATGGTCGCGGACTCGACGGACCTGCGTTGGATGGCAACAGGTCTGATACTAATCGTGTCTTTCGCCGGTGTTGGTTTCCCATTCTTCGCGATGCGATCCAACGAGAGGCTGTTCGAAGCAGTGTGGTTTCAGCTGATGCGAGTGCTTTGTACCGGCCTAGTGGTTTCAGTTGCGCTCTTGCACGTGCTGGCAGACGGCGAGGAATACTTGCGCAATGTTTCGACGACCTACCCCGTGGCAGATGCTGCCGCCCTTTTCGGAATCTTCGTGATGGTTGCGGTCAAGGAGATGGGGATGATGGCTCTTAAGTACGTGAAGCAACACACCACGTCAAACGGAAATGGACTCGAAGACGGTCTTCTCAACAAAGGCGTGGACCACGACGAGTTTGGGCACACACACGGTCTCCCGCTCATCGAGCTTCACGACATGGACTTGACAGGGCAGCCACTCCGGCGTTTTGTTGTCTACATGATGGAGGTCTCAATCATGGTGCACTCTGTACTTGTTGGCGTGGCCTTGGGTGTCCTGCAGAGGCGTGTTGCAGTCCTGTCCTTGACAGCAGCACTCCTGTTTCATCAGTTTTTTGAAGGCCTGGCACTGGGCGCCGTGGCTGTGAAGAGTGGCTTCAGCTTCAGGGCCTCATGGCACTTATTCCTCACCTTCACGCTCTCATGTCCAGTTGGAGCGGTCCTGGGGATATACTTCGCAAGGCAGTATGACCCCGCAGACCCAAGAACAGCTTGGACGCTGGGCATGCTCAATGCACTTGCCGCAGGCACCTTGCTTCATATAGGCCTTGTGGAACTACTCCCAGAAGATTTCAGGGAATGCGGTTCTTGCCACAACCAGCCTCCTCGCTGGGCGAGCTTATTGGCTCTCTTCACTGGCGGCATGATCATGGCAATCTTGGCTATTTGGGCCTGAATCAAAAGCACAGTCATGCCACATTGGCGGCAGTGGGTCGTGTTTCACATTGCAGGCAAGAGTCACCAGCGAGGTTGTAACTACCGCTGATCAAAGAGTAACCGCAATGGTGCTCTGTTTTCAGACTTGTCTGATCTGCAGTGGCAGAGCTACACTGCGAAGAGGGGATGTCGTTCGAATTCGTAGGTGGAATGCATGTGACAGCGAACCTGACGAAAAGGTGGCGTCGCATTCACCAGGGTGCCATGCAAAAGAGGGTAGTTTTTCTAGAAAAGTTCTTTGGCTTCGTTATTAGTTCTGTCAGTCTTGTACCAGCACTCTCACAGCACGTCTGACGCTCTCATCAACAGGATGCACCAGCCCGGCAGGCAGGGCAGCCACCTGACGGAGCTTTCAGCTCATAGGGCTCTTTGGGGCTAGAATATACTATAACATATTATACTAGATTGTACTGGATAGTTACCACTATATTTTGCTCTAATGTACTATGATATACTCTACTATACTATCAGTGAGCTCTGGGACCCAAGGATGCTTCCTCCCGAAGCGGGGCCTTTTTGGGGCGCCGCACACGGAGCGCCCAGCAGCCGACCTCCACTTCTTGCGCCATCTCCGCTGGGCGGCCTCGCAGCTCCCAGCCTGCAGCTTCGGATTCCGGGATTCAAGGTCTCCATGTATATATATATATACACACATATATATATATATATATAATATATATATATATATACAACATATGTGTGTGTATATATGTGTCTATATATATATATATATATATATTCAGTCACACATACGTATCGTCACATTTACCCACCCATGATCCATCCCAGCCTTCTTGTCAATACTCCTGTGCAGTCTTCTGTCCCAAGATGCTTAGTCCTAGAGTCCTATTCTGTCGGTATTTACGGTGAGCTCTGCACTTCATGTGCATGACTACCTGACTTTTTTCTTATCCCTAAACAAGCCGAAACCGAAACCAGATTCCGGTTCCGGATTCTGAGTTTGTCGAACTACTTAAGTACAGTTTGAATGGACATAGCTTCTCTTCTCTTTATACCATAACAAGTATAAACAACCCCTTCAGTGAAAGCAATCATGCTAGTGGTATGCTTGGCTTACTAGCAACAACACTAAACAGAGGTGTTGCATATCTATCCACAAAACAAAAAGAAAGCATGGCTCCTTATAAGGCATGGAAAGGAACCTCCATGTATCTTCATTTCATGCTTCAAGGGAACCTAGAACAACGTCATCTCAACAAAATTAGACAGACAAGGGAAGCTCAGCTGTTCGTTCTCAGATGGTGTTGTTTCTTTCATTAGAAATTTTGTTTCATCACGAAGAAACACATAAAGCCACCTTATCCCCTTATCAGTCGCTGGAACTCAGTGGCTGGAACTCAACGAGCTCTTAGAATCTACCAATACCACGAGTTAAATAGGGAAAGAAATGGTCTCCCTCCACCACCTTCCAAATACATTCGGTCACAAGTAAAGTATGTCGAGCTTCTTACGCTTCATACTTCGTGGGAATTAAGCGTTGTTACTCTCAGCACATGTGCTGTTTTTTCTGGTCAAAATACGCAAGACGATCCTGGCTCAGAAGATATAACCGAGCTCCGTTGCGCCGCACTACTCGCACAAGTGATATAGGTCCTGCCATCTTTGAATACAGCATGACGCAGCTCCAGACCTCTCCTCATGGCCTCCGAGGAATGGTGGAAACACATCTTTTCGCATTATGCAGTAAGGAAAGCAATGAAACACTTGATTTTGCTCCATGAGAGAAGAGTGAGTACCGCCAGGAATCGAAGCAAGTGGAAGCTCATTTACTAGGTTTCCCAGTGTTGCCTGAATGGTACCTTTCTTCCTGGTATACAGTTTGGATGAGGGCACCCGAAAAGTAAAAGGCAAGACGGGAATGCACTTTATATGTAATGATATGAAGCTTCGGAGCTTATCAGCTTCTTTCGTTTGTGAATTAATATGAAGTACAAGAAATACTTCTTCTTCGTTCAAGCAACGGGCAAGGGTCTTAAACGGTTAGCAAGATCTCACGTCGATGCAGAAACAAGACCTCGACAGTATCCAAACATGACTCAAAGTTCGACGAACATGTGCATTCGCATAAAACGTTCTAAAGCATCCACAAACACGGGCAGGTTCCAATGTTATAAAGTCTAGCTGTTCTTCCACTTCGTTTATTGAGCAATGGTGATCTTAGCAACAGCGATGACTTTATGCTCTGAAAGAGGCAAGAGCACAGTTTGGAACTGAAGCAACTGAAAGCTCATGTACGAATACATGGTACAGCTGTTCTTCTATTACTTCTGCATTGCAGGTTTCAAAAAAAACCTTGGAAAATTCGAGCCTGGCAGTGTTTTCGCATCCGAGGTTGCCAAAACATCGCCAGGCTCAAAAATCCCTAGAATTTGTGGAAGCTGGAACTGCCGAATTTCCTTAAAATCACCAAAAATCCTGGCATCTATGAGGAGCGCGGGGCCATAGTTGCTGAGATTTTGGGAATTTTGGGGAAATTCGAGCTTGGCGATGTTTTCGCATCCGAAGTTGCCAAAATGCCGCCAGGCTTGGAATTCCCCAAAATTCCAGACGCCTGAAATGCGAAACCAATTTGCATGGATCAAATTCACAATATTTCTAAAATCCTGGCACCTATGGGGTGTTCGGGTCATAGTTGCTCAGAGTTCGGGAATTTGGGGGAAATGCGACCCTGGCGATGTTTTCGCATCCGAGGCTGCCCACCTCCCATGATCCACCGCTTGCAAAAGCAGGTTTGGGTGGATCATGGGGGGGGGGTTTGAATACACATACATACACTGTCACTTGATCTTAAATATTGAATAGTCTATGTTATATGTACCGTCATTAGCTGCTTAGCTGACAAGTCTTGGCACGTACACTACAGGTTTTCGGATGAGGTAGTGTGTTTCCTCAAGCCCGAGCCAAACCCGAAAGCTCTCCAGCCTATTTGGATCCGTGCTCCTTCAAACTTCGAAACTTGGCCAACTCAATGGGTCAACACCTAAGACTCACATCGTTTTGTTGTTCGAGAGGATGATCCAACCAACTCACGCATTTCTTGGCTTTGACCGAGGAGGCCACCCAGGCGGCGCGCAGATCGGGGCCTCATGGCTCGCATAAGAAGAGCAGATGAAGCATCTACTGTGCTATAGGAGGCTTTCGAAGATGTTTGCGGGTGCTTTACAAGAACTGATAAAGCCGCCTATGAAATCAAGCAAACATGTAACATGTCTGTAAGCGCAAATGGACATAGGCCTCTCGGCTTTTGCTACGTATCTTCGGCCGCAATGTAGAGAGTAAGGAGCCTCCAACTAGTCTTGATGGTGCTGTCACATTTTGGAAGATAGTGCGATGTCTTAAGTTCTGGGAGTGTGGAGTCACCCTTCCGAAAAGATTTCGCTTTACTGTCAGTAGCTGTTGTCTGTTGAAAACATCAAAGAAATCAATTCACTGTGTCCTCCTGTCCCACCTCCTGGGCCACTTGTTTGTACATCTATCTCGTCTATCAACGAATGAAGTGATCCATCCATCCATCCATCCATCCATCCATCGTGTGTTATCGCGCCTGCCTGTCTATTCTGTCTGTCTGTCTAGCTCTCTAGATACATATATATATATATATATTATCTCTATGTATCTCTCTATCTCGCTCCGCTCTCTCTCTCTCTCTCTTTCTCTCTCTCTCTCTCTGTCTGTCTCTCTGTCTGTCTCTCTGTCTCTGTCTCTGTCTCTCTGTCTCTCTGTCGGTCTCTCTGCCTGTCTCTCTGTTTGTTTGTCTGTCTGTCTGTCGGTCTGTCTGCATCTGCCTAGCTATCCACCTATACAGCCATCCAGCTGTTTAGCTGTCTAGCGCCCGTCTGTCTGCCTGTCTGTCGAGACCTGGACCTGGACAACTGGCTGGATGCACATAATGCACGTATGGATGTGTATGTGTCCAAACCGTAGAACATGTAAATAAAGCTGTATGTATACGTTCATGTATGTATGTTTGTTTAAAATTTTAGCGCTATCGTGGAGGAGCAGTGCGGATGCAGAAGGGGGAGGCAGGCCAGGGACGGAGGGGGAGGGGAAGGGAGCGCAGGGTAGGGGATGGGCAGGGTTTCAGGGGGAAGGGCAGAAAGTGGGCCGAAACCTTGGTGGTGAAGGGAGGAGGATTAGGTGGAGGGTACCTGAGCTACCCCCCAACGCGCTTTGGCCTTTACGGCCTATGGCCTCGGCGGGATTCGGCGGGTTTTTGAGAAATAGACAGCATGTGAACCGGCAGGACGAAGGGGCAACGTCGCAACAAAATCCTTGAACAGTCGAAAGACTTCTTGACCAACGCAGCCTTCTCAACCAGTTCATCTCACCAGTCACTGAAGTGTGGGCCCTTGCTCTATTGCAGACCCCTTCAGACTGCTCGTTTGTATCGTTCGTCATGCGCTTCTATATGATTGGAGGCCACCAGTCTACTCCTAAAATGACCATGCCTCCCAAGTACATGCATCACCTATTAAAGACACCTGGCACAATCCTACGAACCGTTGGTTGGTTAACAAGCTCGATTGAGATGCCAATGGCTGAAGCGAGCTTTTGTGTCGAGCACATGTCGCTCAGCCCTACTGCAGCCTCATGTTAAGTCCCTTCCACGAAGGTCTTCGCACGGACGGCTGGAGCAAGCTTGAGAATCTGCAGGCTAAGAGGGTTTCGGATGTCTGTGATTGCCTGCACATCGGTGTTGAGTCATTGCAGGAGCGTGCAGAGCCTCAAACCTAAAGACCCAGGTTCTGAGGCACCTGCAAAGCCTTGATGCCCTGACGGCACGCGCGGTGCTGCGGGCCTGGCCGCGCAGTCTTTCAATTAATTTTTTTTGTTTCTTTCCATGGCCTAGATGTTTCGTTATGGGACTGGTAAGTGATCTGGACATCTTAGCAGAAACCACACTGCCTGCCGGGACCCAGCTTACGCGGCTGAGGCGACTGCAAGTGGCCAAGGCTGGAGGGAATGAGTTTCCTGTGCGAGTGCGGTGCTATGCGAGGCTTGCGGAGGGGCTAGAGTCCCTGTACGAGCTATATTGATTCCTAGCCACGTCCTGCACTGTTGGACCCCCCACGGAATCCGTCAGAATAGAATGCAAGGGTTCGATTCAGTTTCCAGATTGGCTGATATTGGTTGCAACGGCAGTGGCAAGTTCGGACAACATACGTTGCGACAAGCCGGACATCTCCCGATCTAGGAAATGGCCTTCAACGCCATGTTGATGTTGCCGGATGATCAGGACCTGTCCTGTGTTCAGGCATTGCTGGAACCTGGATTCCATTTCCAATTTCCAATGTTCGGGTGGGTGCTGCTTCGCCGTTTCACCCCCTGAGTCTTGGCCACAGCAGCCCGCTCGAAAAGAAAATGACAATCCAAACCCGGCCAAAGCGAAAGACAAAGCGAACGAATCACGGCCAGGAAGATCTCCAAGCCCTGGAGTTCCTTGGTTCCGCCGCCCCGCTAGCAAGAGGATTCAGGTGATCCAGGGATGGAGATGATCCGAGCTGGTGGGAGTCCTTGTGGTTTGCGACCTGTCTTTCCACACCTCACGGTCGCAGTTCAGTTTGAACCCCTTAAGTCCACCCCATTTTGGGAGCACTCTTCCTGGCTTTGGGTTCTGTTTGCATTCTCAGGTCTCGGCCTTCTCGGCGGCGAGGCACGGCTTGCTGGAAAGTGTTTGTCGACAGATTTCTGATGGTTTTTGCGTCTTTAGATATTTTCAGGGGTTTGGTTTAGTAGCCTTGTTTTCTGTGCTTGGTTCAAGTCTCCCAGGTCGGGCAAGACGTGCCTCTGTTGAGCTGCTCTGGCGGTTCTTTGACTTCGGAGAAGTTACTCTCCTATTACCTGCTCGGAGTCATGGGAGTGGTAATATCATTTTTAACATGCATTCCAGACCGCCTATACCATGTTAGGGGTTCCTTTAAAGGGTTCCTTTAAAGGGATCTATAGTGGGGCTCTACTGGCCGAAGTGGGAAAAATTATATATCTTAGCAGTGAAGGGTCCTGCTCCTGACTTGTCTCGGCAGTCCCTCTCAGCGCTGGGATCGGCAGCACATCGAAGGCCGCGGAGGGTTTGAAGCTGGAAAGGGCATTGGATGACGGCCGTGTTTGTCTTGCGTTCGACAGCAATTCCCCTCCCGCCACCAGATTAACTGTTTGCATTTTGGCCCGAGGTCTTATTGGTTGTCTGAACTCTATAGTGACTTGCTTCATCGCCGTTGCACAACTTTGGCGTGCGGGTTCACGAACAGAAATGTTGGGTAAGTACCGAAGAGCGGATGTGCCTCTTGTCACAAGACCCGGTGCAAGGGGGCCGACTAGTCTGGGGTAGCTCAAAAGCTTCGGCGCAAGATTCGGGGGCTTCGGATCAGCTTGGGGGGGGTTTTCAAAGAGCCGTAACCGCACGAGACTTGAAAGGCGTCGATCAACCTCGGCTTGAGCTGCCTGCTCTCAGAAGCTTCTTCGCAAGAAGCACGGTGTCACTGCGGTGCGTTGTGTTTTGTCATCGGTGTTCCTGCGGCTTGCCTTCCCGCAAATATCGCTTCAGGAGCAAGTCGTGCAATCTTTGTTCCTTTCCAGGTGGCCCACTGGCGCAGCCTCTGCCGCCAGTGCCACGGGCGCAGCGGGCGCAGCAGCCCGGCGACTCCCAAAACGAGCGGCCCGCTTGGCCCGAGTCCAGGCCTTGTCTCAGCCTCTCAAACTTTCCTAAACCTCAGAGAAACCACAAATCGGCACTGCTCTAATGCACGTCCGTGCAAATGCAAGTCCTGAAGCAGGCTCTGGTCTCCAGTCTCCGAAGATGTGGATGACATGGAGTAGCCGAGCCGTCAAGCAGTGGATGGAGCATCATGTGGTGTCCAGCTGGACCTCTGGCTTCAATGTGCGACAACACACTATATATGCAAGAACGGTCAGAGTGGACTTTCTGGCAGGTGTCAGACACGATGCAGAAGCTCCGCTACCCCCTACCGGCATGACTTCCACTTCGATAGCCTGGTATCGAGCGACATGGCAAACGACACACTTTGGAGAGCGGAAGCCTGAGGTTGAGCTTGGCCACAACGTGACTTGGCAGGGGGCAGCATGTGTTGCTACTCCCACTCAAGTCTTGACTCGAACATGGGCTGTTCCCGGTGGACATTGAACATCTTGGACATGTGCTCAACGGTGCGTGTGCGTGCCAGCTGTCACTCGTACCAAACACGTAGGCGCTCGATCCGAAAGAATCGTCGTACTACGAGCAAAAGCTATTTTTCTCGTCCATGCATGCAGTGATGACCAGCAATGATTACACTGACAGTCTCTGCATGGGCCGCAGTGTCAACGTGAGGAACTGCTGGGTGCGTTTCGACGGGCGGGCGAGGCACTTTGGGCGGCGATTCGAAGGAGCCCATCGCTTCAGCCTGGTGTTCTTCTGGAACATTTGACGAGGCATACTTCGTGCCCTTTGGAGCCACGAAGCTACCCCTTCTCCCCGAGAACGCCAACCTCGCCCATGTGCTGGCTTCTTAGGAACGCGCCGGCAAGGCTGGCAACGTCAGAAGGGGCAGAGCTGGCAGGGACAGCTCAAGAAGCCATTGTCCAAGTTTGCGCTGAAGCTATGGGGGATTGTTCCTTCGCTAAAGCTTTTTTGGTTGGAGGTCTTACAGAGGGCACGAGGTGGAACGAAGAAAACCGCACTTCGCATCCGTTTCAAAGCCTAGCTGCACAGACACTATGAAGGGTGACACCGCGGTTATGGCCCACGTGGAGACGGCCATAGCTTCCTTGAACGGTTCAGAGCTGAAAGGCGGAGTCTTGGAGGTAGATGGAAGAGCTCGGCTTCAGGGTGGAAAACACTCGAGGCAGTCCGTTCACGGAAGAGTGCCACTGCAACGGCCTCCCCTCTGCGATGCGTATGACGAAGGACCTTTGGCAGCAGCCACCGGTGAAACATCACGCCCTCGACACCGGCGAACGGCCTGGTGGCACGACAAGCTGCGGTCCCTCGCGATGCGCGAGGAGGTTCCGACACATTTACAGAGGCTCCGCGAGCACTGGTGCACCTGCACATCTATCATCGAGAAGGAACTTCGTCTGAGTTGTGAGTCTCGCAAAGAATCGTTGTTGAAAGCAACCAGGACATGCCACCAAGAAAAGCTGCCTGCCGTCGTGCCATCACCTCATATCAGGATTCGAAGGAAATCCCAGCACTGCGTCCAGCCAGGTACGTTGATAGGAATGGGCCGCACGAACTCTTCGTGGCAACATACCTTGGAGAAGGCCGCAGCGCTCTGTCTGTGTTTCTTGGGCGCGATGTAAGGTCTTGCTGGGCCTAGACATAAGACGTGCTTCATTGCCTGGCCTGGGTACTCACTCGTACACGCTGTTGTATGTTCAATTTCGTCGGCTTTTGGTCTGGTCTAGAAAGACTCGCCAGGTTGACTCGTGGCTCAAGACTTACGACGGCATGCCGCCGGCAGTAGATTTGGAGGACGAGAGGCGCCTTGCACACCAGTGGCCAGGGCTTGGGGCCCAAATAGGCCCAATCCTCATCCCAAATAGGCTGCTCAAAGAAGCTCAGCTTTCGGTTTTGGAAGCTTCAATCTCGAGCACTGGCGGAGCAGAACGAGTGTTTAGCGCCGGAGCTTGTGGCTCTAAGGCCTTCCGTACATGAGCTTGTAGAACGGCATGTTTTCGAGCTCCCTTCGCTGATGTTAAAGGCTTGCTTCTACGGCCAGGCATCCTGCAAATGATGCGCTGTACGAGACCGTGCCAAAAGATGCACTACCAGGCCTGTTCTCTTGACGAGAGCGAGGGACTGCACAGATTCAGTTTTAGCTGATTGCATCTTCTATCCATGCAGAGATGCCTCTTCCGATCCACGTCTCAGGTGCAGAATCCGTGCGAATGACGGCCGGGTCCTCACTGGGGCCTTTGACCATGCGTCTTCTCCTCCAAAGGACTTCCCGCTGACCGTGGCCAGGTCGACCGTGTTCTGCCCTTTTGGCACGATCAAATCGCGCCCTGTGTGACCCCGGCAAGTTCAGTATTCAGGGTGGAGGATCGTCTCGGGATTATGTTTGCATGCTTCCCTTGAATGTATATGCATAGTTCCTGTGGCTCAAAGACTCACTGTGCGACTCCTTCCACGTCTGCCGTCATGCATCATCGAACAGTCAGCTCTTTAATCATAAGTCGCAGACCGACAATATTCAGCGTCCCATTCGTCTTTGTCTGTGCATTCACAAACTCCCGCAAAAAATGCCTCCACGTTTCGAGCGACGTATGCGTCAAAAGTCCTCATGCGCCTGAATGCACACACATATCATGCGACTACCTTTCTCAGTTCAGTTGCCTCTTTCAGGTACGAACCGTTGCCATACTGGTTCTTTCCAGCAAGCCATGTCCTTTCACTTAAATTCGCATGAACCTAGTTGGCAGGTCATGAAGATAAAAGGGTGGGATCTGAGCACGAAAATTTGTGCTCTGCTCGTTTGTTGCATTGCAAGGTGTCTTCCTGTCTGCGCGTTGCTTGATGGCAGACGATAGCTGTTTCAAGATCTGGTCGAATTGATTTTCCAAAGTTCTTGTGTCCTAATTACAAAAAAGCCTGGTGGCAGTAGTTGGAGCATTGGGTTGACGAAACGGTTTGCCAAACTCAAGGACTGGTTCGAGGTTCACAAAGGTCCCTCGAATCCGTGTCTTTGATCAATGTGCGGCTTCTTCAAAAAGCGGAAATATGTCTTGGTTTCAAGAGACTTCTTCTGCGTAACAGGTGCAGGCCGGGAGGACACCGCTGGTTTGTGCGCACGGCCCGTGCCCTGGGAAAATAGGGAGTCCGAACGATGATATATAGCCATAATATAGCTATAGGTGCAGCATTGGGGCTTTCGGGAGCTTCTGATTCTGCACATGGGCTCTGCCGTAGGCGGGCGTTGTGAGGTCGGCTTTTCGAAGTGCCAAATAAGGCAACTCCCTGCGGGCCCTCTGCAAAGAACTGGAGGGCTTGTCCGAGGAGAAGGTGCTCCGATAAACCCGCCCTGCAATCTGGAGCCTGATCAATCCCAAAGGCCGCTAAGCGTAAGTTTGGCTTAGTCATCGAATCGCAGCTTGCCCGCCTGCTACTGCGAAGACACCACTTATTCGATTCGGCAGCCCTCTCGGGTGACAAGCAGTCCATCTTAAGCTACTTGCCTTCAAGTCCAAAGCCTCTGTACTCCCTAAGAGGCATCGAAACCTTCACAAGGCCCATGAAAAACATCCACCCAAGACCCTGGACCCGCAAAGCCCTAAACCCTCAACCCCTTGTAGCAACCCTTTTCGACCCCTGTAGTACTCCCTTTATAGAATCCCTTAAACTTCACCGAAGATCAAAAACTCCACAATATACTTATATTTATAGTGATAATCTGTAAGGATACTACAATATACGATAGTATAGCTGTACTTTAGCTATAACATAGCCATAATATATAGTATACTACACTGTATCATACCATAATACTACTACTATACTATATTCTATTTCCAACAATTGAGCAGAAATTCTGAAAAGCCGTCGCCAGGCCATGGAGCTGGTCGTAGCTCCCGGAGTGCCCTTGGTCGTCGAGTGCGGATCCCGGCTCCTCTTTTTGTGCAGCTCTCTCAGAGATCTGGGAGTTTCCGAAAACAGAGAACCCTGATATAGTACCCTGGATAGTAGGATCCTGATTATAAGGGCCCGAAAATAAGGTACCCCCAATTTTCGGAAACCACCATCTCTCATAGTTGTATTGAAATCTATTGTAGTTGTACTGTGTATGGCAGCTATGTGCTGGGAATATTTTTTATATAGTGATCTTGACCGTGGGGGCGGTTTGGGTGTTTCGAGGACTGTTTGGGGCTTGGCTTTGGGGGTTCAGGGTTTTTTGGGTTTAGGAATTTAGGGGCACAAGGGTTCTGGGTTGGCGGTGAGCTCGAACTCTACTTTGAACAACGGCTTTTCCTCGTTTCGCTCGGAACCTGGCCACCGAGGGCGGCAGGCTTGCATTTGGGCTTTCGGACCAACAGGTTGAGGGGTTCCAGACCTGCCATGGTCGCAGTTTGGGGTTTAGGGTTTGCATCAGTGTCTCGAGTTTTTCGGGGGTTCATGGCAACTCAACTAGATCGTGAAGATGCTCTAAAGCTGAACTGGAATTCCTGGGGTTGGGCCGATCGTGCATGCGCTTCGCATCGGGCAGGCTGTCCGAAAGTTTGGAGTTCGTCCAGTGCCGGCCCCAGCCGACCTGGGCTTGCTGCGGAAAGGTGATGTGCCACTGCCGACCGCTTACGGAAATCCCCAAAGAGAGAACATGATAGAAATCCCTAAATCCTAGACCCTAAACCCGTATAAAACAAACCCTAAACCCTTATGGGTACATGAAAGTGTGAGGAAGTACTATCTGATGGACGACAGCATCGCTCCGACCTCGGATCTTTGGCACAGCAGCCGAGCTCAGTCGGTGTCGTCTGCAGTTCCTGTGTAGGGATATATAAGGGCCCTTAATAATTAGAATAGGGTTCCGTTAAAGGGATCTATAAGGGCCTGAATAGTTAGAATAGGGTTCCTGTAAAGGGATCCATAAAGGTACTATAAGGGATTTAGGGGTATAGGGGCCTTCATAATTAGAATAGGGTTTCCGAGGTCAAGGAGCGTCTGGACCAGGCTGAGAACAACGAAGACTGAGTGTTTGGGCTGCTCTCAAAGCTTGAAAGGGTTCTAAGTGTTGGGCCTTGGCGTGGGTCCAGGCCGCTTCTAGCCTTCTCGCGGCTCAGCCCTTGCTTGAAGGCTCGGGCTGAGGTTTCACAAAATGTGACAT